TTTAATAGACTTTTAGCAGCGAAGCAAAATGTCACCAAAAATAAATTCACATCTAAAAAACCTGTCACCAAAAATTCATTTATTTATATATATATTTTTACAATTTCCTATCAATACCATAATTTATAAACCTATAAAAAAAAAAATCCAAAACCCAACGTACTTCTTCCTGTGCATCATTTCTCACATACATGCAAATCAAAACAAATTAACACACTTTCAAAGCATCCAAAATATAAATTTAATTTAAAAATAGTAGGCATATTTAAACTTAGCAAAATTTCAAAATCTAAAATATCTAACATAAGTACAAATCCCTTTAAAATTTGAAATTTCAAACATGTACACAATGAATTTTCAAAAAACTTCCAAGCTTGCAAATCATAACAAAAAATCCCTATGACAATCTATATATATATATATATATATATAAATAAATGAATTCAAAGTAATTTTTTCCCGTCTGATACTCTCCGAACTATGTTCCATCCATTGCTAATTTGTCAAACATAGAAAAAAAATTACACATTAAGTTAGTTATAAAATGTTTGAGTCTCAAAACTATGATATACCAATTGGGTGTTTCTACCTAAAAGTTGCCAATTTAGCTTGACTTTTATAACTGAGATTCAATAGGGGTCTTGGTTTGTTTACTAGAAGTTATATAGACTTTTAGTGAGTTGCTGTGCTGATTTTAGTTGGCTTAAGGTGCCTATTTGTAATCTCCGCCCAAACAACTATTAATTAAGCCTTAGGTTTTGCTAAATTTTTGAACATTCTAATAGGAATTCCAATTGGGGTGCATATTTGTTCTTACAACAGGGTAGCCACCAAAGTGCTAGGATTTGGTTAACACAACACCAATTGGAAGCACCACTACCAAAAACAGGTACCATGGATAGAAAAAAAAAATAAAAAAAAAAAAAATAAAATAAAATTTGACAAACAGCGAAAACAAACAAAATCCAACTTAAAGTTTCAGCACCAGCATCCATCAGATGTATATCCAAACAAACTACAAAGCCATCAATAACATCATCTAGCTAATCCTCCACCAATCAAAACTAGTAGCAGCAGCCAAGGATCAGGCACTGCCACTACCCCCACCCTTCTACCTAGCAAACCTAATCTGCCTCAAATTATAAAATAACGCCATGAATTGTAAAAGAGATTTCTCAGTGCTTATGACTTCATCCCATAAGGCCACTCTAATTTTGATCAATCACATAGCTCATCCATAGTTTTGGCTTTTGCTAATTTGCTTCTAATTTCCAAACTGAAAGTCAATTGCAGTGTGTTTTGTTTCTAACTTATATATACTTTGAGTGATAAATATCTTTGTTTATAACTGTGTTAGACCATCTCCAACGGTTCACCAAACTTGATGATCAGAATTTTAAATTTTGATTGAAAAAGTTACTGTTGTGCTCAACGGTTGCACCAAATCGATATCAAAATAAGAATTTCACCAAACGATTCATCAAAACTGAGACAGCTTCGCATTCACCAAAACCACTGTACAGTGATCGCCCCTTGCGGGGAGACGAAACTGTCGACCAGCGGTTGACCAACCGGTTGTCCATGAAAAGTTCAAAAAGTTTCAACATTTCTGGTTCAAACCAATTCAGAAAAAAAATAAAATTTTTTTTGGCTTGCTCGGCACCAGCCAAGTCGACCCAACCGGTTGTCCCGGAAAGAGTTCAAAAACAGTCAACATTTTCTGGTTCAAACAATTCAAAAAAAAAAAAAAAAATTTCTGCTCACCGGTCGACCAGCCGGTCGACAAACCGCGTTTTCCCAGGACAGATTTGGTGTGAAAGGTGACACAATTGGAGCATCTGGTACTAAATTGGAAAATGGTGATTTTTTTTTACGTCAGATTTGGTTGAAAAGTTTGGTGAACCCGTTGGAGATGCTCTTAGCTTGTGGAAGTTAGAATCGGTTTGAATTTGCTAGAGTTAGTTAGTTGTAACCATTTTCTATATTAAAAAACTATTGGCTTAACTTAATGACCCACTCCTTAAGGACAAACAAAAACAGTTCAAACAAAAATAAGGTTTGAATTGCTTCTTCAATAGTATAAATTACACTTTCACTTCCTTAAATTGTTGGGCAAGGGCCTGGGCAAGGGCAAAATAATAATATTTTGCTTAAATCAATTTTTCACCATAAAAAAATATATATTATATTATATGGTTGGGATTAATTCAAAACCTCTAAAAAAATTACAATTTCAAGTTAGAGAAAACAAAACTGAAAGCA